TGAGAATGGTAGTGAGCACAAGAGAGTATTCTGTATATGATCTTAACTCCATTTGTCGATTTAGGATTTTTAAATAATATGCAGATTAGAGAGTAATTGGAGAAATTCAAATACAATTTCAAGCTATTGTATTGTGATTTTTTTTTGGTTGGAGGACATGCATAGATCTCCATTGCCACAGTTCATTTAATTTCATAACTTGGGCTAGAAGGCTTTCCTTGAATGTTCCCTTCTGCATTATCTTACATTTGAAAGAACCCATCCAGAAATATAGAATCATCAATTCTAACATGTTAAAATGCCCCTGATAATCACACAATCTAGAAGTATGTGATCATGAGGGGGTAGAGTGAGAAAAGAAGGAAAATGTTTTCAAACACACACAGAAAGATGGGATTTTTAAATATGAAATGCCAGACAGGAGAAATGGGAGGAAAAGCCAGTCTTCCTGCTGGGTAAAGCAAAAGATGCTCCAGTTTAATTTCTACCTGTGATCGTTAAACAGTGTCTGGCCTTTTAAGGGCAAAGTCAGCCAAAACCGGATCTCTTTTGCTCTCCTTATTCAACTGGTGAGGGACTATGTAGAAAGTAAGGGCAAGTAAATGCTTGTGAACCATTATTCTTTCTGGCAAGGTTCTACTGAGCATGCTCAAAAGTTATGAAGTAGCTGTGTTTCCTGTTTGAAGGAGCCATTTTAACTTATCAATTTAAGGTGTTTTTTTCCTGCAATGGCTGAATGGATTTGCTTCAAATTAAAAAAGGGGGCTAAAATTACTTTTATTTTAAAATAAAAATGTTAGTTGTAATACAGTTCAGTGATTTCATATTTATGGACAAAAATAGGTTGTTGCATGGGTGGTTGAATCACGTCTGTACTTAAAAACTCAAACCTTTAAAACTATTTGAACAAACATCACCAAATATGGTATAGAGCAGGAGCGGACTGTCCTCTCCCACTGTGCCAAATTTGGTGCTAATCTGAAGCCTGCTTTTAAAGTTAGAATATTTTGTTTCTACTGCCAGCCTTTTTAGATTTGCCTTGTGGAATCTTATTTTGTCCTACAGGCAAAATATCAGAGTATGCCCGTGCGTTGATAATGCCGTTGTATTAGGACTTACACAAAGTAAAGTGTAGGGACACATTCATGCAACCAGCTCTCTTGAAAGAAAGTTTATCTCCTTTGTATTTATCCTTGAATCATCCCTCCAGCCAGGTGTTTGGGAAGAACCAATATGTGTGCAGTTAAAAACCTGTGTGTTTTATTTGTCATGCTCCTTGTGATACTGCTGTAGAACACTTCTGGGACTGTGCCATTTCAGAAACCATGTTTGAAGCAAGCTTTCCTGATCATTAGCTTTCCATATGCAAGAAGCTTTTGTTGAGAGAGGGCATTAGAACATAGCATCCTGTGACTGCTTTCTGATGTGTGTTTTTAAGTGTGGACATACAGTCAACCCTAGACTTACGGCCCTAGTTACGAACATTTCCGCTTACGAACTGCTCTGATAGGAAAATATGGACTCGACTTGTGAACTTGGATTCGAGTTCCCGGTGGCCCTCTGTCTCGGCGCCGGCGGCGGAGATGGGGTGAGGGGTGGCTGTGGGAGAGCCGGGAGGCAGGGCAAGGCCTGGGTGTTCCGGCGGCCCTCCTCCCAGCGGTGGTGGCGGAGACGGGGGTGAGGGGTGGCTCAGGGAGAGCCGGGAGGCAGGGCAAGGCCCGGGTGTTCCCAGTGGCCCTCCTCCCAAGCCCTTGCTCGCCCGCTGCCCAAGAATGCCCGGTGTCTCCCTGGCTGGCTGGCTAGCGAGTGCCGGGTGGATGGCCCGCTCCTTCCTGCCCCGGGCAGCTGCCTCCAAGCCCTCGCTTGCCCGCCGCCCAAGGATGCCCGGTGTCTCCCAGGCTGGCTGGCTGGCGGTGCTTTGCCATGATTGGTTCCCTGCTTGGGGAACCGATCATGGCAAAGCAATGCTTTTTTAACAGCTGATCGGCGGTTTCAAAATGGCCATCCGCTGTTTTCTGGACGGATTCCTCGCTTAAGAGGCACCGAAAATGGCTGCCCCTATGGAGGATCTTCACTGAACTGTGAGTTTTTGCCCCATAGGAATGCATTAAACAGGGTTTAATGCGTTCCTGTGGGGTTTTTTGTTCCGTTTAGTGATGTTTCCTGGAACGGATTAACGTTGCTATGCGTGGCACCACTGTACTCAGATAATGCTACACATCCTATCACAAAATACTTTCAGCATTCAGTGAAGGAGGCAGTTGCATTTTCAAGGGCAGTTCCACAGAAAAACCTGACCAAGTCACTTTGAAATTGGCAATTAGTTGTATTTATTTGTTTAGTTATTTATTTAAAATATTTGTATCCTTAAAAAGGACCCAAGGTGACCTTTGATAGTGCACAATCATTTAAGGACATCAATCTTATTACCCTGACTCTCTCCACAATTTATTTATTTTGTGATTCTTTCTCATAAAACATGCTGTGGAGTTAAGGACCTACCTCAATGGGCACTGTTATGATTTGTTGTTGTAA